CGCCCCGAGGCCGAGGTGGTTCGGGTGCGGTCGCGTCGGTGGGGTCCGACGCGGGGCGCTCGTCAGAGGTGGTGTTGCCGGTCCAGGGCGGCTTGCAGTCCAGGAGCGTGTCTTCGAGGCCGCTCGGCGATGCCGCAGCGGATGCGCTGTTCATGCCGCAGCGCTCGCAGACCCTGATGGACGTGCGGCTCGAACCGAAACGGCCTTGGGCCAAAATGGCTACGGGAGACACTCGGGCTGTCTTCGGGCCCCATTGAACGGTCTGGAAGCCATTCAAGAACTATGCTAATGGAGTTCCCCACATAAAGATATTAACGGTTTCGTGGGACCCATGGGGTAGGACAGGTGCTCAGGAAACCAAGCCCTGCAAATAGTACGGTTTCTTGATACCCGCCTCGCTCTGGCGGGGCTCCGCTGCAAGAGGGGAGGGCTACGAAACCGGGAGGGGTGGGAGGGGCACGAAACCCTGTAAATAGCATGGGTTTCCGATACCCTCCTCGCTCAGGCGGGGCCTCCCTGGAGGGGTGGGAGGGGCACGAAACCGTGTAAATAGTATGGGTTTCCGATACCCTCCTCGCTCAGGCGGGGCCTCCCTGGAGGGGTGGGAGGGGCACGAAACCATGTAAATAGTATGGGTTTCCGATACCCTCCTCGCTCGGGCGGGGCCTCCCTGGAGGGGAGGGAAAGGCACGAAACAATGTAAATAGTATGGGTTTCCGATACCCCACTCGCTCAGGGCGGGGCCTCCCTGGAGGGGTGGGAGGGGCACGAAACCATGTAAATAGTATGGGTTTCCGATACCCTCCTCGCTCAGGCGGGGCCTCCCTGGAGGGGTGGGAGGGGCACGAAACCATGTAAATAGTATGGGTTTCCGATACCCTCCTCGCTCGGGCGGGGCCTCCCTGGAGGGGTGGGAGGAGCACGAAACAATGTAAATAGTATTGGTTTCGGATACCCCACTCGCTCAGGCGGGGCCTCCCTGGAGGGGTAGAAGGGGCACGAAACCATGTAAATAGTACGGGTTTCCGATACCCTCCTCGCTCAGACAGGGCCTCCCTGGAGGGGTGGGAGGAGCACGAAACCATGTAAATAGTACGGGTTTCCGACACCCTCCTCGCTCAGGCGGGGCCTCCCTGGAGGGGTGGGAGGGGCACGAAACCATGTAAATAGTATGGGTTTCCGATACCCTCCTCGCTCAGGCAGGGCCTCCCTGGAGGGGTGGGAGGGGCACGAAACAATGTAAATAGTATGGGTTTCGGATACCCCACTCGCTCAGGCGGGGCCTCCCTGGAGAGGTGGGAAGGGCACGAAACCATGTAAATAGTATGGGTTTCCGATACCCTCATCGCTCAGGCGGGGCCTCCCTGGAGGGGAGGGAGGGGCACGAAACCATGTAAATAGTATGGGTGTCCGATACCCTCCTCGCTCAGACGGGGCCTCCCTGGGAGGCTGGAATGGTAGGCATGGTATGATATGGGAGGCTGGAATGGTAGGCATGGTATTGATATGGGAGGCGGGAGGCGGGAGGGAGAAGGAGAGGATGTTCTGGGAAAACAAGAACCCCACTCAGGATGTGGGGAAAAAGTTCAAGACGACAATCGAAACATGATCTTAAACATCCGATTGATCATTTGTTCAAAAATGTCTTTATCGGAATATCAATTCTCGGCGGTCTCGATGACGTTTTTGGACCGTTTGGACCTCTTGCTTTCCCCCCTCCCCCCGCAGCCCTCGAAAGTGGCGTTCGCAGATCGCAGATCGCAGCCCCCCAGGGACGGTGAGGTCAAGTCTGGATCGGGATTATGGCCCCGCTATGCTGCCCCCCCCCAGCAGCCCTCGAAAGCGGCGTCAGCTTCGCAGTTCGCAGCTCCGCAAGGAGAATGGGGCCCACGGGCACACAAGTAAAAACATACAATTCCCAGGATTCCCCATATGTTTCCATCTTTGCTGGGCTTTCGTCTTCCCCCCCCCCCCACTTCCCATATTTCCCCACATTTTCCTGGGAGTCGACGATTTCTCGTGTCTGTGTGTTTTCCCCTCCTGAAAGGATGACGAGGCGGAAAATTCAGATGTACAGGGCCACACTATGCTGGCTATGCTGCCCCACCCCTAGCAGCCCTCCAAAGTGGCGACGGTTTCGCAAATCTGAGCCCCCCAGGGGCGGCGAGGTTTAGTCTGAATCTGGGTAGTGCCCCACTATGCTGCCCCCCCCCCCCAGCAACCCACGAAACGAACGTGGCGACAGTGCCGCGGATCACAGCCTCCCAAGAAAGGACGGCGAGGTAAGAGGCAGACTCGCAGGCAGACGCAAGCCAGGTAACAGACAGGAGAAAAGAGGAATCAGGGAAAGAGGAGGAGGCGGACGGGAGGACGGCGACAACTGCAGGCAGGAGGAGGGACGCGGGAGAAGGAGAAGACGCGCAAGCAGTGCTCCTTTCGAAACGAGAACCCAACCAAAGTGGGTTGGAAAAGACACATGGACACACGGACAGCGAGAAAAATTGATGTTGAGAGCCGTGCTCATCGGATACATTGCGGCGTTCGACAGGCAATGCTTCTCATCAGCGATCCCCCACTCATCAGCGACCCACCGCTCATCAAAGTGCGGACCAGAGTTGGTCCGCGCAGGCTCAGCGGGGGAAATCGACGATTTCTCGTTTGCGTGAGAATGTCCCTGGCGAAGTCGCAAATTTGGGCAAGAGCGACGTCGACAACATCTCATGTGTGTGAGGACGTTCCGTGCGAAATCGCTATGGTGGGCGGAAGTAGGGCCCGTCTTGAGGCCTCCCAAGAACGATGCCGAGACATCTCAGCTGTTTGAGGATATCCCGAGAGAAAGAGCCATTTTGACGAGGCCTCCAAGATGGCCCAAGAGCGATCCAAGAGGGCATCCAAGAGGGCACACGAGGTCCACAAGATCGCCCAAGATGCGCCCAAAACGGCCCCAAGAGGGCATCAAGACGGCCCCGGAAAATCCCCAAGACGGCTCTCAAGCACTCAAAGAAGGCCCCAGGACGCCCAAGAGAGGCCCGAAGACGACCTTCGAAGGCGACAAAAAGGCCAAGAGCGACATCAGACGGCCAAAGAGACCCCAAGAGGCCCGCCAAAGACCTCCCAAGAGGCACCCGATAGGCCCTCTGGAGGCTTCCAGAAGGTGCCCAAGACGCCTCAAGGCGGCTCCAAGAGGCCTCTTCATCCTCCTCCTCATCCTCCTCCTCCTCATCCTCCTCCTCCTCCTCCTCGTCCTCGTCCTCGTCCTCGTCCTCCTCCCAGTTCTCGTCCTCGTCCTCGTCCTCGTCCTCCTGCTCCTCCTCCTCCTCGCCTTCCGTCTCCTCCCTCTTCCCTTCTTTTCTCTTCCTCTCAAGTGTTCCCCCAAGGGGTTCCACAGTGGCTGGGGGAACACAGAGTCCAATTGCTCGGCCAGACTTTTGGCCCAACGCCGGCCCACACAGGTGCTTCCGAAAGGCAGGGGCGCGGCGGTGCTTCGCCGCAGGCATCTTCGGTACATGGCAGATGTGCAGGGCTCCGCCCTCCCCGGTTGGGCCCCCCCTGACTGCCTGCACGGCTGCGCTGGTTGGCTTAGTTGGGTGGCTTGGCTGGCCGAGTGGCAGGCTGGCGGCTCGGCTGCTTGAAGGACGGTTGGCAGGTTGGCTCGGCGGTTGGCTGATGGGGTGGTTCGCAATCTTGCTGGCCGGGACCCTGCCCAGGGAGCGCAAAGACGACGCGCACACACACACACACACACACACACACATACATATATATATATATGTACATATACATATATATATATAAACATGTATATATATACATGTGTGGAAGAAACTTTGGAAGTGGAAGCGGAGGAGGAGGAGGCGGAGGTGCAGGGGGTTGGAGGAGAAAAAGGCGATGGGGAGGAGGACGACCCGATTGAACATTGAAGATTGGAGATTGGAGCGAAGGCGAAAGGTATGATACTGAGGTGGAGCGAGCATATATAGATATGCACACAAGACTGCAGTGGCGCTTCGCGCCATGCAACTTGGTCCTTGAAGTTTGGTATGCAGACGAAATGGTATGCAGGCGGAATGGCAGGAAGGTCAAGCCGACAATTTAGCGATAACTCCTTGTTGCCTTTTCCAACAACGCCGCTAAAATAATGTTATTCGTTATCCTTCCTCCATGCTTATTTTTCCTCATTATCGCCATACCCTGCGCATTTTCCCCATCCTCCTCAGCTCTTTTTGCGGAGGCTCCTCCTTGGAGAGCCTCTGGGGGCATCACAAAAGTTTCAGGCTTTCTTAAGGCCTTCTGGAGGCCTCCTGGGCGTGTTCTGGAGGTTCTGGGGGCTTCCTCGGGCCACCCTGCCTCCAACCGCGGTCTCCCTGAACGACCGGGTCACGATTTGGAATGCTTCGGAGGGTGTCTTGGGGCCGTCTTGGGCCGCCATGGGGCTCTCTTAGGGCCATAGTTGACCCCTGTTTTGGAGCCTCCCAAGCGGATTCGGACGCCCAGAAGACTGCCGTATTGAAGCGTCGGCAAGCCGAAAAAAGGGGAACCCAAAAATTCACCAAAAACCCGCAGAAAATCAATGATGTTTGCCTCTTGGGGCCTTCTTGGGAGTGCTCTTGGAGGCTTTTTGAAGCCTTTGGGGCCGTCCTAGAGGCCTCTTGGGCCATCTTGAGGTCACGGCGGTCACTCTTGGAGCGCTCGTGCTGTCTTGGAGGTCTCTGGGACGTCTCCGATGACCCCCCTGATCGCCCTAGGTGTGCTGGGAAGGCTTGGCAAAACGCCCTGCGAGGCCTGGGGGGCCGCTTCGAGGCCCGTCCGGAGGGTCCCAAAGCCCCAAATCCCGGGAGTCCGGTTTTGGGGTGGGGGGGGGTCCCCCCGCCCGGGCTTATAAAAATATAGGAAGAGGAATATATACATATATATATATACACACACACACACACACACACACACACTCACACCACAGCTGGAGGGAGGGAGCGAGAGGCGGAAGGGGAAAGGCGCCGTGCCTGCAGCGCCTTGCTCACGGCCCCGTAGCTCTCGGAGTCCTGCGGGGAGGGGAGCAGCGGGCGATCCCCGCCACCAATCTCCCCCGCCCCCATGTAAGCATTCTTTTTATTCGGCGTTTCGACATTGGGTGGAAAGGAGAGGGGGGGGGTCTGCCTCCGGACCTCTGCTTGATGCGTTTGTTTGTAACAATGCGCCCCATGGGGGGGAGACACCACCCGCTCGAAACAGGCGCCAAAAAACAGCCAACATCTACTCCATGGGGGCGGAGGGGGTGCGAGGGCCCGCGCCGATCGGCAAACAATGAATACAAAAAACGATTACAATTCTCCACCCCCTCCTCGTCCTCCATTCCTCATCCTCTTCGTGTCTTCTTTCCGCAGTTGCTTGCCCGTGCGGCCCAGCTGTTCTGCGCGCACGGGGCGCAGGCGAGTTAACCCAAGAAAGAAGACAGAGGTAAGTCCGCCCGACCGCCCAGCAGCCCCCGAGAGCGGCGACAGTTTCGCAGATCGCGCCCCCCAAGGACAACGAGGTTTGATTCAGGTCCGCGTAAGACGTCACTCCGCCGGATCCCCCAGCAGCCCTCGAAAGTGGAGACAGTTTCGCAGGTCGCAGCCCCGCAGGGAGCCCCCAGACAGGACGGCGAGGTGAGGCAGGAGGGAGGGTAGCAGGTAGACAGGGAAGAGGAAGGCGGGAGGAAGGCGGGAAACGCGCGGGCAGTGCTCTATTCAAAACGGGAGCCCAACGCAGGAGGGCTGGGAAAAAGTGCAGAATTTCATTGAGAGGGGGCATGTGAAGACAGCCCGTGAAAATCCACTACCTGGCGCCTGCGGAGGGGCCCACGCTACCCCCCCAGACCCTCTCCCGCTGGCGGGGTGGCCGAGAGGGGGGAAAAAGGGAAGCGTGGGGGAATAACAACAACGACAATAACAACAAAAGCAGAAACAGCATCAACCAAAATTTTAAGACTGTTCGCTATGATCCGCTCGCGTGCCACTCAACACGGACATCCCGAACACTCGATGCCCGCCCTCTTCGTCCTCGACAGTACACCCTTGGGGGCATATCTTTCTTACCTGCAACGTGTATTTCGCGCAGCCCCTGAGGCAGGGGAAGAAAGAGAAGACGGATGGAAGGACAAGGGGGAGGGAGGAGGATGAAACACGGGCTAGGAGCAGAAAACACGTGGCAGAACCAGACGGGCAGATCGGGCGGGTAGACCCTACCAGGCGAGTCGGGAAGGAGGGCCCAGGCGACCAGGTCGAGCAGGTGGGTTGCTCAAGCGTGCGTCCAGCATAAATCGCGAGGAAGACAAATCGATTCCCAAATCAATCGTGAGGAAATCCACAGCGAGAGCGTGACTCCTGAATGTCGAAGGCGCGGCGTCTGAATAAATTGCGAGGTAATCCCACGCGAAAGCGCGATTCCTGAATGCGAGGAGGTCCCGCGCGAGAGCGCGATTTGGGAATAAGTTGTGAGGAAGTATCAGGCGGGAGCCGTTGTTGTAGCTCGGGGCCCAACAACGCAGTTTGACCCTAGTGGCTTCCCCTGCTAAAAAACAAGGTGCGAGCCCCAGGAGAAGCACGTCAATGGAAAAAACAGAATGGTCACCGGAGGGGGATCAACAATAATTGTTCTTCAGTAGTGAGAGTTCAACAACGACAACAACAATAACAACAACAACAACAACAACAACAACAACAACAACGACAACAACAACAACAACAACAACAACAACAACAACAACAATCACTTTACCCGAACGCTCAGTATTCTCACCAGTGCCAGGGTTTTCATGCGACGCCAGCCAATACCCCCACTTTGTGGGGGGGCAGTGCAAGCTCTACCAAATATCCACACGACTCTTCGCCACCACCCACACCCAGCTTCCCGCCCTATGACGTTCGGACACTTCACTTCGTGGCCTGCGGACGACCGTGGCTACTACACTGGCGTGGAGTACACACCCACAGAAGTAGGGGGACGTTTTATTCTCGGCGGCCGAGGGCGCAACCTATGGCGCAACCAATAGGGGGACGTTTTATTCTCGGCGGCCGAGGGCGCAACCTATGGCGCAACCGCAAGGGATTGTGGCCCCTGGCAGGCGCGCGAACCCCGTTGCAAGAGCGTGCGAAAGTAGCTCGCGCGAGCTCATGTAACATAAATGTTGGAAAACCATTGGTTTTTTTAGGATTCGGACAGCGCGCGCGGGTAGAAATTTTGAAAAGTCGTGCAGGTGTTTTTCGAGGACCTACGGTGCGATTCGTGTGATTTTATGATGCGCGGTGCTAAAATTCTTAAGAAGCCCAATGGTTTTTGGAGATTTCGGCGTGCGCGCGCGAAGAAAAAACGAATGTGTCCCGCATGGTATTATTTGACAGGGATGATGGCCCTGGCAGGTGCGCAACCGTTGTCGCAGAAGTTCGAAAAAGTTGCTCGCAAAAGCCCGTTTGACAGAAATGTTTAAAAAGTGTTGGGTTTCCTACGAATCCGCAAGAGCGCGCGGGATGAGATTTTGACATTTTTTTGTTGAAAAACCATTGGTTTTTTGATGTTTTTATGTTAAAATCGCTCCGAACACTAAGCTTTTGGAAGGATTTCGTCTTGCGCGCGCGAATGTCCACTTTACCTTATTTTTTGCAAGGGATTCTTGAAATTTGATTATATTAGAACAAGAAATGTCATTTTATAGTGTTTTTTGCAAGGGAAAGCGGGGGGGAACAAAACAACCGGATCTTGATCACATCGAATTACCTGAGGCTTCCTCACGAAAATGATGAAAATGTAGCTGCGGCCTAGGCGGCGCAGGGGGGCCGTGCACCAGGGGTCCCAACAATAATTATTCTTTAGAATTACAACAATCACTTTACCCGAACGCTCAGTGTTCTCACCAGTGCCAGGGTTTTCATGCGACGCCAGCCAATACCCCCACTTTGTGGGGGGGCAGTGCAAGCTCTACCAAATATCCACACGACTCTTCGCCACCACCCACACCCAGCTTCCCGCCCTATGACGTTCGGACACTTCACTTCGTGGCCTGCGGACGACCGTGGCTACTACACTGGCGTGGAGTACACACCCACAGAAGTTGTTAGGACAGCGCGCGCGGGTAGAAATTTTGAAAAGTCGTGCAGGTGTTTTTCGAGGACCTACGGTGCGATTCGTGTGATTTTATGATGCGCGGTGCTAAAATTCTTAAAAACCCAATGGTTTTTGGAGATTTCGGCGTGCGCGCGCGAAGAAAAAACGAATGTGTCCCGCATGGTATTATTTGACAGGGATGATGGCCCTGGCAGGTGCGCAACCGTTGTCGCAGAAGTTCGAAAAAGTTGCTCGCAAAAGCCCGTTTGACAGAAATGTTTAAAAAGTGTTGGTTTTCCTACGAATCCGCAAGAGCGCGCGGGATGAGATTTTGACATTTTTTTGTTGAAAAACCATTGGTTTTTTGATGTTTTTATGTTAAAATCGCTCCGAACACTAAGCTTTTGGAAGGATTTCGTCTTGCGCGCGCGAATGTCCACTTTACCTTATTTTTTGCAAGGGATTCTTGAAATTTGATTATATTAGAACAAGAAATGTCATTTTATAGTGTTTTTTGCAAGGGAAAACGGATTACAACAAAACAACCGGATCTTGATCACATCGAATTACCTGAGGCTTCCTCACGAAAATGATGAAAATGTAGCTGCGGCCTAGGCGGCGCAGGGGGGCCGTGCACCAGGGGCCCCAACAATAATTATTCTTTAGAATTAATAATGTTCAACAACAACAACAACAACAACAACAACAACAACAACAACAACAACAACAACAACATTATCAACATCAACAACAGCATTCATTTTAAACTGTTCGCTCTTATCTGTTCGCGGGCCATTCAACACGTATGTCCCGGACCCTCGATGCCTGCCCTCTTCGCTTTCGACCGTAACCCCCTTGGGGATATTTATATATAATGTATTTTCTCGCTTGCAACGTATATGTCGTGCAGCCACTACGGCAGGCTAAGAGAGGATGGATTGAAAGAAGGGACAAGGGAGAGGGAGGAGGATGGAGCACGAGAGAGAGAATAGCAGGAGGGGGGCTAGGAGCAGAAAACACGTGGCAGAACCAGACGGGCAGAACGGGCGGGTAGACCCTAACGAGCGGGTCGGGAAGGCGGGCCCAGGGGGCCATTTCAAGCAGGCGGGTTGCTGAAGCGAGCGTCCTGCATTGATCGCGAAGGTGTTTCGAGCGATAGTGCGATCCCCAAGTGAATCGCAAGGAAATCCACAGCGAGAGCGTGATTCCAGAGCGTCGAGGGCGCCGCGTCTGAATAAATGGCGAAGATGTCCCACGCGGGAGCGCGATTCCTGCATAATTGTAAGGACGTCCCGCGCGAGAGCGCGATTTGGGATTCAATTGTGGGAAGGTATCAGGCGGGAGCTGTTGTTGTTGCAGCTCGGGGCCTAACAACGCAGTTTGGTGACCCACCGCTGGCCCTTGTAAAAAACAGGGTGCGAGCTCCAGGAGAGGCACCTTCATTTAGAAAATACAACGGTGACCGGGCAGGGGGATCAACCATACATACTTGTTTACACATGGGAGCTCAGCAACATCAACCGCAACAGCAGCAACAACAACAACAGAATCAACAAGAATCATGTTAAGACTGTTCGCTCCTATCTGCTCACGTGCCAATCAATACGTATAGCCGAAACCTTCGGTACCCACCCTCGTCGTCCTCGATCGCAGCCCCTTGGGGGTATACCTTCCTTACCTGCCACGTGCATTTAGCGCCGCCCCTAAAACAATGAAAGAGAAGACGGGTGGAAGGGGGAGAGAGAAGAATGGAGCACGAGAGAAATTAACAGGAGGGGGGCAAGGAGCAGAAAACCAGACGGCCAGATCGGGTGGGCAGACCCATAGCGGGCAGGTCGGGAAGGCGGACCCAGGCGACCAGGTCGAGCAGGCGGGTTGCTGAAGCGTGGGTCCAGCATGAATCGCGAGGGAGTCTCGAGCGATAGCGCGATTCCCAAGTAAATCGTGAGAAAAGCCAAAGCGAGAGCGCAATTCCTGAGCACCGAGGGCGCATCGTCTGAATAAATTGCGAGGAAGTCCCACGCGAGAGCGAGATTCGTATACAAATTGTGAGGAAGTCCCGCGCGAGAGCGCGATTTGGGAATAAATTGTGAGGAAGTAACAGGCTGGTAGTTTTCGAGGAAGTCCCAAGCGAAACGCTCGTCGTTTCAATGGTTTGGAACCGACTTCTGTTGTTTGGAACCGCTTTGGAACCGTCAAGAAGGCCATTTTGGCGAGGAAGTCCTGCGCGGTTCTGCGATTTGGAACCGCCATCCCATTTAGCCTTATAAAAATGTGATGAAAGGTCCAAGCCTGGCTCCAACCCTCAAATGTCCTCCCCCCTCCCCGCCGGCCCCTGTTCACATTGTAACAGGCTCCCTGTCCCGAACAAAACGACGCACCATCCACGCTCGCACGCCGGAATCTCATCGACCGACCCTCCGCAAGGTCCACGAACTTTCATCACGGCACAGTAATGCTGCGACTACTACTCTACGCAAACTACTAGTATAATAGTACTGGCAACGGTACTACTTTGTCTACCATCAGTATTCCAGAATGCTCCAGCAGGCTTCAAGAGGGCAGCAAGAAAGCCCAGATACTGCTTTGAGAACACCCAAGGTTAACCCGATGGATCCCTAAAAGATCAAAAAGGGAAGATTCGAGGAGGATAGCTCCGGGAGGGCCCGACATTCAAAAGGGCCCCAACAGCCCTGAACGGAAGGAACAGCAAGAGGAGGCGGAGGAAAACGACGACGACGACGACGACGAGGGGGCCCTCAATGCGTGGAGTGGGGGCCGACAGCAGTGCCCAAAGGCCTTCAGAGAATACATATGAAATCTCAACCACTGTCGCAACCCCGCGTGCTGCCACCAGCCGGCTCCTGTCGCCAAAGTTTGGCGCTCTTGTCCCAGTTCTTCTTCGCATTGTCGTTGATCATCTTCGTCACTTCCTTGCGGCGAAGCGGCCGCGTCTTCCCTGCCCGTCGACCCCCCTTCCGACGACTTTCTATGAATACTTCGGGGCTTCAACACGCTTGGCGAAAAAATGGGAGCGCAGAAGCTAGCGCATAGGACATTGCGTCGCAAGACATGCACAGCTACAAATGCACTATTACAATTTCGCGCCCACCCCCGAATTGTTGAGACATGTTGCTTGTTCTGCCAGACATCTGCCGAAACAGGGAAATGCGTTCAAAGAGAAAGGCAACAGTGCAAGTTGCTGTTGAGACGGCTGGCCCACGAGAGCGCCAAGGAGGAGAAGAGAGAGAGAGAGAGAACAACAACAAAAAACAGAACGACGCCTCCAACGACTGAGCCCCGCCTCTCGCCTCTCTCTTACCTAAGCGATGTACTTGTGGCTGTGCTGGCTGCGTCCGCCGCCCTGGCCCACGACGTGGCGCGGGACAAGATGACTGGGGCCAGCCTGGAGCTCAACGAGGCGAAGACCAAGGTGTGGACCGCCAGCCTCCAACGCGGTGCCCCTCAGCTCGAGCACCTCTGGACTGCAGCCGTAACGGTCGTGGTAAGCCGGGTCTCATGCTACGGCCGTGACGACGGCGACGACGGAGCCAGGCTGCCCCTCCTGGCCAGCTCCGACGGACGGGGAAATCGTGGACAAGACGCGGCACTTCCTGGGCCACTGGAGGACGCTGCGCTAGTACGGACTCTGCAAAAGGGGCAGAAACGCTGCTCCACACGCCCAGGGTTGCTGCACGCACCTGCTGCGCGCGAACTACGAGACCGCCTGGGTGCGGGAGCTCGACGACTGACTCTTCGGGGCGTACGCCGAGCTGACTGGGGCGTTGAGCAACGACCAGAAGGAGTGGCTCACCTAACCCTCAACGACGGCGGCAACGGCTTCCCCTCCGCCAGGGAGACCGCCGCCCGCGCTCACCTCGGAAGCTTGGATTTTCCAATGCTCGGGGGTGGCAGCCTGCCTCGGAACCACCCGGGCGGAGGCTGCCTGGGCCCGCTGTCTTCGGGCCACAGGCGCGCGGCGCCGCGCCGAGGCGGAGCTCGACCGGCAAGCGGCCAAGGCCTAACCGATGGAGTGAGCAGCCCTCCTGGCCGAGCCCAGGGCCAAACAGCAAGGTCTGTGGATGCCATGACAATGGACACTCTAACAGTTCTACCATTGAACGAAAGATGTGTGTACAACGTGCAAGACATGTTCTAAAAATGTTTCAAGCACGCTTTTGACATATCTAAAACGTGTTTGCAACATCATTCAGACATCTAGGAACTATTTGGCAGCATGCTTCCTCTCCGTTAACCGACTTCCACAAAGCAAGGGCAGCTGGGGGAGGAGGACCCCCCCGCGCCAAGGGAGCCCCGACACCTCGACGAGGAGGCGCGAGCTCGCACAATGCTCCGGGCCGCGGGTCCAGCCGCGGGCGCCCGGCCCCTGCCCCGCGAGAGGCGGCGCGCCCCTGGCAGGCGCCCACTTCCCGGCACACCCCGCGAGTGCGTTTCGGCTGCGGCGCATGCGCAGTGGGCGCGTGCTGTCAACACCGCAAGCAGGACGGCCCATGACAGTCGACCCGTAGAATGAAAACGCACGATAGGGACGCAAGGGCCTTGGAAGGCCATGTCGACACTTTACGAGCGGGGCGCGGCCGGCGAAAGTAGCCAAGGATGAGCCGAAGGGGAAGGACGCAAGGGTACCCTTGGAAAGTTGCTCATCCTTACTTTTCTAGTTGACTGTATGTGGGAAAATACATAACGGACGCCAGGGTCTGGCACGCCCAGAAGTGCGGGCGCGGGGACAGCAGGGAACATCGACACAACCCCCTGCGCGACTGGAGCGCTCCGCGGCAATACGCCCAGACAAGCCAGTGGGCCACGACCGAACAGCGCGTCCCTGCATGAGATCGCCAGACACTGGTGCGCAGGAGGACGCCATCCCTGATGTGGCCACTCGCGACTCCTTAACAAACGCCCTCGTTTACATGGGACGGTGTGTCACCTGCGAGCACAGCGCCAACAACGTCCGCAGGCAAGCAGGCCGAGGCTCGCTCGCACGGACGGGGGGGCGGCTTCTCGAATGGCTTCTCAAAAGCCCACAACGCGTCCCCAAAGCCCGACTTCTCATCCTCGTTACCATCGTCCGTTTCTTCACTCCTCCTTTCCTCCTCCTCCTCCTCCTCCTCCTCCTCCTCCTCTCCTCCTCCTCCTCCTCCTCCTCCTCCACTCCTCCTCCTCCTCCTCCTCCTCCTCCTCCTCCTCCTCCTCCTCCTCCTCCTCCTCCTCCTCCTCCTCCTCCTCCTCCTCCTCCTCCTCCTCCTCCACCTCCTCCTCCTCCTCCTCCTCCTCCTCCTCCTCCTCCTCCTCCCCTCCTCCTCCTCCTCCTCCTCCTCCTCCTCCTCCTCCTCTCTCCTCCTCCTCCTCCTCCTCCTCTCTCCGCCTCCTCCTCCTCCTCCTCCTCTCTCCTCCCCTCCTCCCTCCTCCTCCTCCTCCTCCTCCTCCTCCTCCTCCTCCCCTCCTCTCCTCCTCTCCCTCCTGCTGCTCCTGCTCCTGCTCCTGCTACTGCTCCTCCTCCTCCTCCTCCTCCTCCTCTCCTCCTCCACCTCCTCCTCCTGCTGGCTGCTTGCTCTGCTGCTGCTGCTGCGGGCTGCTCCTCCGGCTGCCCTCCTCCTCCTACACTCCTCATCCCCTGCTCTCCTCCTCCTCCTCCTCCCTCCTCCTCCTCCTCCTCCTCCTCCGCCTCTCATCATTCATCATCATCATCCATCATCATCATCATCATCATCATCATCCATCAGATCATCATCATCATCATCATCATCTCATCTCATCATCAATCATCATCATCATCATCATCATCATCATCATCATCATCAATCATCATCATCATCATCATCATCATCATCATCATCATCATCATCATCATCATCATCATCATCATCAGCATCAATCATCATCATCATCATCACATCATCAGCATCAATCATCATCATCATCATCATCATCATCATCATCATCATCATCACATCCATCATCATCATCATCATCATCACATCATCATCGTCATCATCATCATCATCACATCATCAGCATCATCATCATCATCATCATCATCATCATCATCATCATCATCATCATCATCATCATCATCATCATCATCATCATCATCATCATCATCATCATCATCAGCATCATCATCATCATCATCAGCAGCAGCAGCATCAGCATCATCATGATCATCAGCATCATAATCATCATCATCACCACCACCACCATCATCATCATCGTCATCATCCTCATCATCATCAGCAGCATCAGCATCAGCATCAGCATCAGCATCAGCATCAGCATCAGCATCAGCATCATCATCATCAGCATCATCATCATCATCAGCAGCAGCAGCATGATCATCTGCAGCAGCATCATCATCAGCATCATCATCCTCATCGTCATCGTCATCTGCATCCTCATCCTCATCCTAATCATCATCCTCATCCTCATCCTCATCATCATCGTCAAAATCATCATCATCAGCATCATCAGCATCATCATTCATCCTTATCATCCTCATCCTTATCATCATCCTCATCAGCATCCTCATCAGCATCCTCATCAGCATCATCATCATCAACAGCAGCATCATCAGCATCATCATCATCATCATCATCATCATCATCATCATCATCATCATCATCATCATCCCCTCATCTTCCTCGTACCGCATTCCTCCTGCTCCTCTTCTTCCCCCTCCTCATCTTTCTGCCTTGTGTCTCCTCCTTCTCCTCCTCCTCTACCTCTCCCTACCGCCAAGATGGTCCCAGGAGATCGAGCATGGCTCAAGACAGCCTCCGACAGACCTCCAAGAGGCCTCGAGACAGCCTCAAGATGGCCCAAGATAGCTGAGCATAACTCAAGATAGCCTCCGACAGCCTCTAACCGAGCATGGCTCAAAATAGCCTCCACGGGGCCTCAAGAAAGCATCCGATCGTCTGGATTTCCCCCAGAGGCACCCGAGAGCGCTCCACAGAGACTTCAAGAAGTATCCAGACCCTCCTCCTTAAGCGCGCCAGCCAAAGCAAAACAGCCACAGCGAATTTGAGCAACGTCGAGTTGAGTCGAAGAGAAGCCCCTTCCCCAGGATCCCTTTCCTGCCGGAGGGGGGGGTCCAGGGAGGGGTAGGGCTGGAGAGATCCCGGGGGTGTCTTCGGTCAGAACCACCCACCCGGGGGTGTCCCGGGGCCCAAGAGGCCCCCCAAAAGCCCCCACAAGGCCTTCAGGTGCCCCCAAGGAACCGCCAGAAGCTCCAGGAGGCTCCCAAAAGCCCAAGACACCCCCCAAACCTTCGTGGGGGTTCTTGGGTACCTCATGGGGGCATCGTGGCCTCGTGTAGCCTCTTGGGCACTCTTGAGAGCGTCTGAAACCGACCTTCCCGAATGCCTCTTCCATCGTGGGGGTCGTCGTCGTCGGCGGCACTGGCCGCCAAGCCTTCGCGAGATCGTGTGAGACCCCAGCGATAGAGTCCCATGATAGGGCCCCAACCAAAGGGTCCAAGCCAGACTGGGCGAGAACTGGCAAGAGGGCCAAGCCACTGCAACGCCAGCACGTAAGAATCAAACAGAAAAATTGCTTGAAGAATGCAAGAAATACTGAAACTCTACAAGAGCCCACGTCTGGTCGAGACGGTGGCCGCGTGAGCTTCAATTACACGAACTTGGACTACTCCTCGCCCCCATCAAAGTGTTGAACAACACAGCCCTCGATTCCCCAACGGTCAGAGTCGTTTCGAAAACTTGACGCCCCCAGACGAAACCACTGGACATCTGTCTTTTGATTGATGCTGTGATTGATGCTGTGAAAACGTGATTGATACCGTGATTGAAAACATCCCTGGCTGGGAAACTGTGATTGATGCTGTTTGAACCCCATGGCTTCGATCAAGCCTCCTGCCTGCCCGCAAGTGCACGGAAAGTTCGAGAATCGTGGAGGGGCGCCGAGCTTGTGCGATCGAAGATCTCTGATCGCAAGATGGCCGACCTGAATTCTGGATCATCCGAACCTGGACAGCGGCACCGTCCGCCCCTCCAACTTAATCCATGACGCATGCAGCACGGCAACCCTGGCTCGCCCCAAAGCGTCGGGCCTTAACGTCGTCGTCGGAGAGGCCGAAAACCTGCGGGCCGCGGCATTGCTTTTGTTCAAGCTCTCTGGGCGCCGCCGCCGCTGACAAGCGCTCGATCACCCGCCCATGGCCCTGCCCAACCGCCGTCTGTCCGGAAGTGGGCCGCCCCACCCATAGGCACCTCGAGAACACGGGGAGCGAGACGGGAGACTGCGGAGCTACGCGTGGGTGGAGCTCCGTTCCCCTACCAACGAGCTTCCCACGCAGACCGGGAGCAGCAGGAGGGAGAACGCGCTGGTCTGGTCATGCCCATCTCTTCCTCAGCTCCTGGGGCATCCCCTTGAATGGCGTCACCTCCTTACGAGGTGGATTCATTTGACCCGCGGACGGTGTCGAGAGGGCATGCGAAAGCAGCCACTGGGGCCTTCGGTAGAGCTCCCGATGGCGCACCAGGCAAAATGCTGGCCTTGGCGGTTTTGGCTACTAAGGATTCGTGATTGTGGACCTCCTCGTAAAGATCCCTGGATATAGGTTAAGATCCATTCCAAAAAAATCCGCACTGAGGACCCCATTTACCCAGGATTTCTTACTACGGGCTCCTGAATACGGGTTTACGATCAAGGACCCCATCGGCAAGGATTCCCTTGTAAGGAAACCTTACAAAAGGCGCCTTCCACGGATCCCTGAGTCTGGACTCTGTGTTGTTGATTCCTGAGCGAATGATTTCCGCAAAAAGAATACTTTCTACGAGCATATTACTAAAAAAACCCTAGTAAAGAAACCTTGCTCACGTTTCCTTACGAAAGATCCATGACGTAAGATTCCGTATTGAGGACCCCATTGAAACAAGATTCCTTACTAAGGGCTACTGACTACAGACGTGCGGTCAACGACACCTCACCGAGGATTCCCCAATAAAACCTGACTCGGGATTCCTTACCAAAGATTATCTTGTCTGTATTCGTTATTGTTGATTTCTTATTCCTCACGAAAGGCACCTTACTAAGGATTCATTAGCCAGGAGTCCTTACGAAGGATTTCCTTGCACGGATTCCTTACGATAAATTAATTCTGTCTTACGGATTATGTACTAAGGGTTCTCTAACTGAGTGGGCGCTAATAAGAAATCCGTACTACGGACTCCCTAGTCAGGATCCCGCCTTAAACAACCCTGACTAAGGAGTTCCCTTTTAGGATTTCTCACTACGGGCCCGTGAGTAAGGAATCATTAACAAGGGTATGCTGATCAGAATTCCACATTTAGGATTGCATCGGAAGGACACCTTACTGAGGATTCCTGAATAAGGAATCCTTTTTGTCCAAGGTTTCCTGACCAACGATCACTTACGTCGGATTCCGTACTAGTGATCAAAAACTCCTTGCCACGGGGTCGTTGGTAAGAGCCCACTGTCAATCATTCCTCAGGAAGGGTTGCCGAATAAAGAATACATCACCAAGGTATCCCCCACTACTAAGGAATCATTACTCTGGGTTCCCTGAGTTGACTTCGTCAAGAAGGATCTCTTGTTTAAGATTCCTTACTGCGGAAACCGTAGCAAGGATTCCTTAACACCTATGCCTTGTTAAGGGTTCCTTCATACGTTTTTACCATCAATGACTCCTTCGTAAGGGTCCCCTAATAGGGAAACCTATTTGTTCCGAGTTTCCGACTACGAATTCCTTCATAAGGATTCCAAGGATACTTTCCTGAGGATAATGTGCGAAAGGTTCCTGGCTAAAGGTTCCGCACTCAGGGCTTAGTAAAAAGGATTCCTTAAGAAGGATTTCCCGCAAGGGTTCCACGGATCCGCACGGATCCGCCAGGATCCCACAGAATCTTATGGATTCCGACTGGAGGGAGAGGGGGGGGAAAACCATTGAACGAACAAAAAACAAACAAGCGCAAAACTAGGATGTCAGAAAATCTTCTGGGGAGAGGGGAGGCGACGGTGCTTCCGAAATCCTACGATTCCCCAATCAGAGCTTGCCTCTGCAGGGGTCCTAACTGCTTCATTCCCCAATCCGAGCTTGCCTCTGTAGGGGTCCAAGCGGATTCATATGGTTAGGTGAGGTCTGGTTCCGATTTCGGCGGCACGCCCGGGTGCCCGGGTGCCCGGGTGCGTTATGGTATTAGGTTATTTGGTATCAGGGTATTGGTGTGTCAGGGTATCAATATATCAGGGCAGTCAGGTGTCATGGCCGAATGGTGTTGATGCATCCGTGCATCAGGGTATTAGGGTATTCGGGTATCAGGGCATCAGGGTATTAGGGTGTTAGGGTATTATGGTATTCGGGTATGCGTTCGGGTATAAGACAATTAGTGTGTCAGGGCCCCAGGGTATTGGGGCATTAGTGCATTACGGCGTTCGCAAGTTTGTGCATGAGGGTAGTGAGGTATTCGGGAAATTCAGGTATGCGGGCATGAAGGTATTCAGATATCAGGGGGTCAGGGTATCAGGGTCTCAGGGTATCAGGGTAGTAGGGAAGTATGGTGTTAGGCCAACAGGGTATCAGGGTCTTAGGGTGCTATGGTCTTAGGGCAGTAGGGCTCTACGGTGTTAGGGTCTTGGGGTCGAAAGGTCATTGGGTCTTTTGGCATTGACGTGTTAGGGCATGATGGTAGTAGGGTATTTGGGTTCTAAGGTACTGGTGTACTGTGTATCAGGGTG